AGATGATTTTGTGATCTAACAACTCAAGCCGTTTTTACAGTATCTCTAGCGCAAATGAAAAATGTTATATTCTATCTCTTAGGTTTTTTTTCCTTCTTAATACTAAATTTGGATGTAGAGGAGATCCAGTGATCTTAGGGTAGTTCTAAATTTATTCATTAAAATATTTAATAGCATAAATGGTGTCATAGTGGAGCCTACAGAGTGCAAAGGGTTAGAGTAACGAAATTTTTAAAATTCTGAAATGTGCACGAAGTGAAGTTTCAGAGGTTGAGAAATGAATTTAACCATTTGCACTCGAGAGGTGACTCTCACCACATGATTTCATACAGTAAAACTGTAACATTTGATATTTAATATTATACTCCGTATAATGCATCAATCTGAGAAACATTGAAATAAAATAGCTTTCTTTCTCAACGTACCTGTGATTTTTCGTCGAGTTAGTTTCACAAAATGTCATGTTTATCTCATCAGAAAATATTCAAATATTTTTGGGAAAGCTTCCGAGTGCAAAGGGTTAAAGATTCCGAAGGTTCGAGTTAACGAGCGAGCTCGACAAGAGATTGATAAATGCAAGGACGCGATTACGTGTCTTTGTGAAAAACGAGGACCACTTCAGATCGAGTCTCCCGATGTTAAAGTTCTCGTGCTGTGTACGATCACATTATTCCCCGATGCCGGAATTTGATGACAAAGTTAGACAGAAATACCGATATTCGGGACTTAAATTTCAAAGTCGACCCGCCGGTTGTCGGCGCTCGCCGCTGAACTGACCGATAAAAAATTGCCCGAACATTTCACCGAGTGTCCGCGGGTCCGAGCGCGGCATGAATTTATAAAATCCGCGACGTAAACGTTCTTTATCGTCGTAATTCTGCTGGCAATTCCAGCGCGGCCGCGTGCACTCTAAATTATTGAAGAACGTAAAGCACGTATGAATTGATTATTCGCCGTGACATCGGTATTCGATACACGGTTCCGGCCGGCGTAACAACGTGTTTAGCGGTGTCACCAGTCATTTATATAATATTCCACGCGGACAGTTTCGATCTTTCAGCGTCGCTTTTTATACAGACTTTATTTCGAGTTCTTCGGCGCGATAGAAATTTCACGATTCCGATCGAGTCGATTTCGGTACTTACGCGTCTCGTTCGTTTTACATGTACACTGTGGATCAGACGTTTAGGATCACTGTTTGGTTAAGAGAAAACCTTGAGTTTTTGATTTGAGCTTTTAGTAGAGAATTGTAGAGAAGAATGGAGTATAGATATTTTTATGTGTATTCGAATTAGAAAGTTTTCCTTTTATAAATAGAGCTTTTAATTGAGAATTGTCATACATAAGAATAGAGTTGATTTGAGCTTTTAGTTGAGAATTGTACGTAAGAATGGAGTATAAAGATTTTTATGTATATTATTCTAATTAGAAAGCTTCCCTTTTATAAATAGTGCTTTTAATTGAGAGTTTTCGCATATAAGAATGAAGTATAGATATATTTACGTATATTAGTCGAATTAGAAAGCTTTCCTGTTTTAAATAGAGCTCTTAGTGAGAATTGTCATACATAAGATTGATGTATAGATATATTTACGTCTATTAGTCAAATTGGAAAACACTTCGATCTCTTAAAAACGGGTTCTACTTCAGAGTTGTGTACAACAATGAAGCATAGATGCCTATGCGTCCAATATAAAAATTCAAATGAACCTAAGAAAGCGTTATATATCTGCCTAATTTCTAACACGTGTCGTGAAACGTACGAGTGGTTAGAAACTTTTGCCAGTGTAAGTTCCTAGCACGGGCGAGCTAACCTCTCTGTCGCGGGACAAATTTTGCGGGAACGAGGCTGCAGCAAACTACTTCGGCAACTTCGAGCCCGCGTTTTGGGCAATCGGTCTCCAGGCGTCTATTCGGCACGATATAAAGTGCGGTTGGAACTCTACGGCGGAACCGGAACCGCGGGAATGCCGAGAATTACTGGAATTTTTCATGAATCGCGTGTTACGCGTTAGGGAACAACGCAGGGAGATTTCGAAAGCGGATGGATGGTTCCTTTCGGTTAAAATAGAATTTGAAATGAAACATTCATCTCGGTTCTGACAAGAGGATACGTTCACGATTAATTTCCATCGCTATTCAATGCTATCGAAAGCTCGCGAAAAAGATCTTCGAATGCATTTAGAACAGTTGTTATTAATGCGAGCCGCGAAGTGCAATTGAAGGCTGTCGGAGAATCTAATTTAGAAGAATGATATATGGCAGCGGCGGTAAACACGTTGGAAACACTACGGGTGAAGTGCGGCTAAAGGCTGCCAGGAAATCTAATTTAGAAGAATCGCGCACGGGGTGTAAACATGACACGGCAACAGTGCGCATAAAGGGCGGGGTGCAGCTAAAGGTTATTAGAAAATCTAATTTAGAAGAATCATGTGCGAGGTGTAAACGTGTCAAGAACGGTTACGCGTAAAGGGCGGGGTGCACCGAAGGCTGTGAGTTCGTTACAGCGGGAAGGGAAATTTTCCAATAAATACTCAAAATTCCAAACACGAATCATTATCAATTTGTAGCAACAATAATGCTAGTTTCGAATTATCACATAACTGTGTATAGAATAACAAACATATGGAGATTCATTCCGAAACAATACTAACATTTTATCAATATAGAAATTGAACGTGGTTAACCGAGGATCATCATTAATGGAGCATCTGAATGATCACTTCGCAAAATGAAAATTACAGAATTTGACGCGAGAAAAACCGATCGGATGCCAAACTTAGAACGCATTCAGAAATCTTGAATTGTTAATGACTCGGTTCGCCGAAGCTGAAGGGGTTGACAGGTCATCTGTACATGGGGAAACGAAATTCCGTGCGGGGCAAAAAAGCAAAACACATCGAAGTGAAATTAATTGGCGTCCGGGGGACGCGGAGCGTGCGTGTCGCGCGGCCGCGCGCGTTTACGCGGGGAAATCGATTCGTGTTTGCGTACACGGACGGGACGTGCTCGTTACCCACTCGATGGCTTAAACGGGACGCCATGGTGTTTGCGTGGCGGGAGCGTAAACGTCGCTCACCGGCGGAATTTACGGGTGCATTGTGGACGCAGCTCGCGGCGAGCTTTTTCAAAGGCCCCTCCGCTGGCGGAGGTCGCTTTATTTCCAGAATCGTGGTCAAGGACGCCGATGGGGAGGGAAACTTGAGGCAGGCGAGTGGACGAGGAGCCGGGGATGACGCTTCCGATGGCGGATTATGTCCACCCGCCGACTCGAAGGAGAATAATTATAAATAAGGGCGTGGAAATCCTTGGCACGGTAACAAGGAACCCCGCGGAAATATTATCCGGCGGAAATTAATTGTGTAAACGAGGCGCTCGGATCGGGGATCGTCGGGAACTGGATGAGAGCTGCGGGAATTTGCTTAGAGTACTCGGTGGAGAATCGTGTATTCAGCGGAGAAAATGTTGGGTGGAATAGGAACAGTCGGAGAGTATTGTAAATAGAAGTGGGAGGTGAAGGAGGATGGTGATTTAGATGGATTCAGAGTGAAGTGTTCGGTAAGGGAAATAGCTAAAGAAGGAAGAAGGTCTGAATGAGCCTTCGTGGCTCGGAGAGTTGGGCGATTGACTGTGAATCTGGAAATCCAGAGTTCGATCCCCGTTGGAGTAAATTGATTTTAATTATGGTTTTCTGTGGTTTTATTAATTATCAGTCATTGATGGAGAGTAATTCAATTTATATAAAAATATTTTCAAATTGATTAAAGAAATTGTTGTAAGATGTCATAGAAAATACTTGAAAATATTAGAAAATTGTGGTTTTTAATATTGGTATGATACATTTTATGTTGTACTTGATGTATTTCAGTGGTTTGAATTGCAATTAAAAAATTCAAGATACAGCTTTGATTTAAATATGATTCAAGTTTCGTGATAGACTATTATAATGAGAAGCTTTGTTAATTAATAAATTCAAGTACTAGATAACGACATGAAATTCGAATTCAAACCTCTCCTACGTTGAATAAAGAAACTTCATGTATCGTTCATGAATATTCAAATACAAATTCAAAATATTCTAGGAAATCAATTTAATTCAAAGTTCCCTAATGAAGCACTTAGCATTGAAGTTTTAAATGCGAGTAGAGAAGCAAGGAGCTAGTATTCGTAAAATTCAGAATGGGAAAAACGATTGCAACACGAGTTGCTGAGATTTATCTCGCTCTGACCGAGAAACATATCACGTCGGGAGCCCCCCCACTAAAATTCATTTCTAAATGTCATGGTACAGCCTCTGAATAATTAGAATTTTTCATAGCAGGTCGTAAATCGACAGCTTCCCGTGCTAATTTCGTCTATTTGCGAGCGATCGGGTTGCACGTCGGGAGGAACCCGAATCTGGGTTACCGTGTCGAGAATAATATTTTTATGGATCGTATCTGCAGGACCGAAATTTTCCTTGACGCAGAGCCGTCGATAATGTCGAGTCATCGCTTCTTATCACCGAACACCGGTTTAATTAAAATTTAACCAGCTGGCAACACATTAACGTGTTTTGTCTCGACTAGCAGCATGTTCAATTTATTTTCGTGAAGAAGCGCAACGTAAAGCTAATTTCGACGCGAAAGCAATTTGATCTTGTTATTACTTTAAACAAACATAATACACTACATTACCTAAATTAAAGAAGAAAAAGGATTCCTCTATGAGTTAAATGTTGCAATGATCCACTATTAACACTAGAACTACCGTATCAGTCAAAATGGTTTCGATGTTCTTGTTTAGCAGTTATTGATATCTTCGAAGCATTGAATATTCGAAATTATTTTGAAAATAGTTTCATTTGAGTACCATAATGAAAGTATGAAAAAACTGAAAGTAATCTATTGATACAATTTTCATAGGAATTGCATATTAATCGTATTAAATGCTCGGTAGTTCCAGTGTTAATTCGATCTCAATGGAAGATCGATATCAAACGAGATGCGCATTGTACGAACCATTTATCAACGAACACACCGTCGAACCGTCGAACTGTTTAGACCGTAGAAACAAACGACTCCGAATGCCGACGTAATTTCCATCGGTTTCCGTCTACGAAGTTACTTTCGACGATGTTAGCGGCGAACCAACGAAAGCCGCCGCTTGGATCCGGAAGCAGAATAATTATTTCACTGTCCGTCCCGCGCCGCGTCCGCCTAGACTCGTCGGAATCCATTAACGATCGGCGGGCTTCTCGTTAACAAGATTGTCGACGGAAAGTCGATAGTTAATTACGCAAATGAAGGGATCTCGTTAAGGGTCGGCTACGACCGTCCTCGATCCGGGCGGAACCGCAATCGATCTGGGGGGCCGTGTTCTAACATCGATCGATTTTGTTTGCAGTAACCGTACCCGTGTTAATTACTGCACTCTACCCCTTTATTAACCCTCCCGGTAACAAGAAATTGATCAAGAATGGGAAACGGGAGATCGTTTATGGCTGGCCAGGAATAGAACCGCCAACCCCGCGAATTTTAAACGAATCTCCTCGATGCTCCAATTTTTCCAAATTGCACCTGAAATTTCTCTACGAAGAGAATACCGGAGTTTATAATTCATATTATTATATTTCCTGTTTATTTCCTATCTATTCTATATTCCACAACGAAGATCGACGACAGTACTATTTTCAATTACATACTTAACAGCTTTCCACTTAACTACCCCTTAACCTCCCCTATACCGAGAGATTCATCGGAAATAACATATAATAGAAAATCAACACTGTTATGAAATAAGCATTGGAAGAAAACCCGAGTATTTCAAGTGACAGTTTTCCACTGTCCCGATTCCCCATCTCTCAACCCCAAAATTAGTCGACGAACCAAAGGGGACGAGCTCGTAGAGGCAACGGCGACGAGCATCGAGCACGCTACGCGTATCACGGGGCACGGAGATGCAGGCGAAAAATCAACGCAAATCGACAAAGCGGCGCGACGTAATTTCCGACGGAAGGGATTAAGGGGTGAAGTCGAGAAGGAGGGTTAAA